AGAATGGGAGAGTAATCTGCATGGGATTAACCTGCGCCTATTTACTTAAATATACATATATATATATAATACAAACATTTTTATCCTGCCTTTCTCCTTGAAAGGACCTCAGGCGGCTTCACAATTTCGGCATTATTCTGGATCTAGCATTGTCTGTGGAACACCACATTTCAGCCATGAGAGGTTCCCGAAGACCCTGACCCATGCACGGGTAATCTCAATAATTGACTACTGTAATGCTATCTATGTGGGACTTCCCTTAAAGAAAATATGGATGATACAATACGTCCAGATAGGTTAGCTTTTTTCACCTTCAGCAGATTGCTCAGTTGTGACCCTATCTGGATGAGAAATGCTTGAAGATCTTGAGTTGACCACTGTTAACACTGTATACGTGGGGCTTCCCTTGAAGACGATACAGATGCTGCAACATGTTAAGAATGCAGAAGCCAGGTTAATTTCAGGGGCAAGGAGGTTTGATCATGTTTCCCCAATCCTGTCTCATCTGCACTGGCATCTTATTGGCTTCTGTGTCAGATTTAAGGTGTTAGTTATGACTTGTAAAGCTCTGAGGTTGCCTACCCTAAAGGAAATAAAGAAAAATGATACAAGGAATCAGGCTTTTTCAGCAGTGATAACCTCACTGTGGAACAAACTTCCATCAGGCCCCCTCCCTACAGATCTTTAGAAAGTAACGGAAGACAGAACTCTTGAAGGAAGCTTTTGGCAACATTGTGGACCCATTTCTAAGACCCTTACATTATATTTTTAACTATGCCTATTGATTATTTTTATTATACTTGTATTTGTGTACATTTTGTTAATTATGTCATGTTTCAGGTACTTTGGTTTGATGTAATTTATCAGGTGTCAATCATAAGTCACCTTTTCTTGTATTTGTGTACATTTTGTTAATTATGTCGTGTTTCAGGTAATTTGGTTTGATGTAATTTATCAGGTGTAATTTATCATAAGTCACCTTTTCTGTTTTATTATCATCATCATCTTAGAACTGCAGAGCTGGCAGGGACCCTATGGGTCATCAAGTCCTTTGTGGTGTTATGTTTTTCTTTTAATTTCTTTTTATTATTTTAGTCAGTTGTATGCTGTGCCTACTTAGATAAAAGTGCCGCGAGCAGTGTTCTCACTAGGTTGGGCAGTCTATAAGCTAAAAGGAATGAATGAATGAATGAATGAATGAATGAATGAATGAATGAATGAATGAATGAATGAATGAATGAATGAATGAATGAATGAATTCTTTTTACCACCCAGAAAGAGTTTGGGGCATTCTGTATTTTCAAGTGTTCTGTGCAAAGTATACCATCTGGTTCAAAAGGACGCAGGCGGTGCTGTGGATTAAACCACTGAGCAACTGGGCTGTCGATCTAAAGGTCAGCAGTTTGAATCCGTGCACCAGGATGAGCTCCTTGTCCCAGCTCCTGCAAACCTAGCCGTTTGAAAGCATGCAAAAGTGATTCAATGAATGGGTACTACCTCGGTGGGAAGGTAACAGTGTTCCATGTCTAGTTGTGCCAGCCACTTGACCACGGAAAGCATCTATGGAAAAACATCAGCTCTTCGGATTCCAAACGGGGATGAGCACCGGCCCCTAAAGTCGGACACGACTGGACTTAATTGTCAAGGGGAACCTTTACCTTTTCAACAGCACAAGTAAATACCATTAAGATTATAAATAAAGCCACAGAAAGCATGAACTGGGAGCCAGGGGAAATGAACATCCCCATGCATCCCAATAGACACTAAATAGACATTCGACAGTGTCGCTCCATTTACAGGAGGAATATTCCTATTTTCACAAAAGGCCAAGCAGCGGTAGATCAGCTGGGATTAAAAAAGAATTCCCACGGACCTTTTCTAGAGAGAACTTCTTCCAACTTGACAGCAGTGCCTCTTAATTGGCCCATGACGCAAGCGGTCCTTTTTCTTTGTGGACGTCTTGTAACAAGAAGCCTGTGATGAATATTTAAAATGGCAGTAGGGCAGACACTAGCATTTCTAGCAACGGTAAGGCAGGCCGGTCTGTGGACACCAGACATGTTTCGCTACCGCCGCCCTGGGACGTTCTGTTCAGGTCTGTTCTGTTCCGAAGCCTTTGAACTGAAACGCAGGCAACTTCCGCTGGAATCTCTTACATTATTTTCTCTCTCTGATCAAAGATAGATCCGTAATTCCAAACAAAGCCTCCCCAGACCTCTGGAGAACAGCTTTCTCTGCCTCAGGTTCAAAACAGAAGATTACTGATGTTAAAACCGGTCTTCGGAAGATGAAAGAGCGACGGCAGGCTGTAAGCTGGTACGTTTAAGAAAGCTACAGGTCTCTAACATTTATCATAACCTTTTGTCATAAAAGAAGCTGTCTTTGGAGGAATGGAGGAGGCATCGACTTAAGCAGCAACTACTTCCAGCAGCAGCAAAGAACTTGAGCTTAGGAGTAACAAGTTACAAATGGCTAATTACTTGTAATTCATTCCAGTGATGTACAGATACTTGCACTACAGTCAAATGGCAGAGCAGTGAAAGTTTCTGCACACTTTTTTCACAGTAACTCTTAGCTTTTGGGTTACTTTCAGTCACGGCTGTGTGGCGACACTAAATGGTAGAGAAGTAGTAGTCAAAGGGTCAATGTCTGGTGCCCTATTGTGGGTATTTGGATGACAATGAGGGCTAAGGGAAGATTTGGTATGACAAGTTATTTTTCAAGTTCTTTGCAAATATCAGTCTTGCTACTGTCAACATAAGAATGATTCATTCTTTCTCCCCTGGTTCTAACAGAATATTTCCAAGCATATTTAACAGAGCTGTTTTTTAACACCTTTGTATTTCAATACCCATACTTTCCTTTTTCTCTTATTTCACTGATAGATATCATGGTTTTATAGTCTTGAGATTGTGTATATCTCGGGAACTTAGGTTAATCATGTTAGTAGGAGAATTGGTTTCTGTACAAACAGGTCATAGTGTAAAGGGAGGTAAAGAAAGCTGATGGGAAAAAATAATTTGTGAGATTTGGTATGACAAGTTATTTTTCAAGTTCTTTGCAAATATCAGTCTTGCTACTGTCAACATAAGAATGATTCATTCTTTCTCCCCTGGTTCTAACAGAATATTTCCAAGCATATTTAACAGAGCTGTTTTTTAACACCTTTGTATTTCAATACCCATACTTTCCTTTTTCTCTTATTTCACTGATAGCTATCATGGTTTTATAGTCTTGAGAATGTGTATATCTCAGGAACTTAGGGAGAATTTTGCTCGGTTTGTTCGTGGGTTACAAACTTTATAAAACGTGGAACCATTTTCTTAAATGCGAAAGACAAGCAAGTGGGTCCTAGATCAAACCAAGCTTGAGCTGAAGGCCAAAATGTTGAGACTGAGGCTGTCCTGTTTTGGACACATCATGAAAAAGCAAGATTTGAAAGAAAAGACCATAATGCTGGGAAAGGTAGAAGGCAGTAGGGAAAGAGGATGACCAAATATGAGAGAGATTGGTGCAGACATGGGAGAATTTTGCTCGGTTTGTTTGTGGGTTACAAACTGTATAAAACGTTCAACCATTTTCCTAAATGTAAGATGGATTCAAGCTTCCATCCTTCTGAGGTCAGTAAACAGAATACCCAGCTCTTGGGCATGAGGGGCAGACAATATGTAACCTGCACAATTAAATTGTAGACTGCCAAGAGAGGGCTTTAAGCACAATGGTGTGGTACAGAAGAGGGAAAAGAGGAAATTGTTGCATAGAATGACAAGAGGAACAATGAAAAAATTATGATAAAATCAGTGTTGAATGCAGAGCAAATCATGGTACAACTGTTCCATCATAGCCCATTGTCTATAGGAAGCCTTCAGATACATGAGATTTACCGTTATACTGACTTTCTTCTTCAGGTTAAATGTAGTTATGAAACTTAGGGAATACTAAGAAATGCAACCCACTATTGGCGTTGTTATTGCACCTGTTGGTATTGTTATTAATGGCTATTTGAAAATCACAGGTGTCCTGCGGGGATCAGAAATGACAACCGACAAGCCGCAGGGCACCTCTTCCTCCTGGAAAAGCTGTGGCATAAAGCAATGCCGACGTCTGTGCCAGAATGAAAGCGTCTGACGGCCACGCTGAGTCAAAGGTGTTTATTGACTGTCCTTCATCATCATGCTGGCCCCGGTTCCCCCTTTTCCCCCCCCCAGCTTGGGTTATGAATCTGAGCAGCTGGCCAGAAAAGATCACCTGGTCGGACCTCAAAGAGCTGCTAAGGAAGTGAAACATTTACGAGGAAGCAGGCAAAGATGCCAGGCAGCTTTAAAATGCTGGCACATCTGCTGCAGGGAACAGGCACAAGTGTTTTACAAGTGGTTCAACTCCAATAAAGTCTTTATTGCTATCAGTTTCATCGTGGAAGCTTACATGTTTTACATATTAATGTTCCTCCCTTGCCTGTCCCAAACATTGTAGGCACGCCGGAAGATTGATTCTGTGGTTCTGTACCAGTATGGATATAGGATGTATTTATATTGTATTTGTGATAGTAACAACAAGAACAACATCGGGTCTTGTGGCTTTTGGCCTGGCATTGCCCAAGGATCACCTCTTAGCATCTCTCCAGTCCAGATGTTTCCAAAGGCCATTTCCTAAATATTAAGCTTTACTTAACAACCATGAATGTTTTCCAGACACTGGTGAGCGCAAATATAGAAGAATGAAGCAAAGAAGCAGTTTGGTGCCAGGCTGTTAAGAGTCAGGATGAGATTCCTGGTAAATCTTCCAAACCAAGTCGTGGGAAAAGAGGTACAACTGGAAAAGGCCAGTGTGAGAGACTGGTTTTCTGTAATTCCACAGAGGAAGACCTGAACCAGAGCAGACTGTCTAGGAAGGTCTCTGTTATTGAGTTTTCATTGGGGGCCAGGTGACAGCACATCAGATGTCACATCATGGGGTTTTCTGCATCAGCAAGGGGTTGGACAACGTGATTTTTGAGGTCCCTTCTAACTCTACAGTTCTATGGTAAGTAACTCACACAGTCATTCCCCAAGGAGCTTCTAATGGAAATTGTGACAGTAGGCTTTCTAGTAGACACAAGTCTTAACATGATGTAATAAACCAATTTGATTGCTATAGCCAGTGAAACGAAGGACACTGAGGGCAAACGAGGGTGGCGGCGGCAAGCGCAAAGAAGAAGAAAAATGATAGAAACATGAGAAGGCCAACAAAAGGGCATTACCTTGTCAGTAACGAAACCCCATCATGTGCTGCAAGATCTTCTAAACTGGGAGGCAGTTCTCCACCCTCACAAAGAACGAAAAATGTAAACCAGTTAAAAGAATTTCATTTCAGTCAGATTTTTCAGCACGAGAAAGGTTCGCAGGCATATGGTTATATGTCTCCAGCCGTATGAGTTAAGTAGATCCAGACATCATTTTTTGAACGATGTCCCCATTCAGATGATGCTGAGCGGGTCATAAGAGAACTTCTGCAATGGTAGCATCCAAGCAGTGCAATGGCTTTCAAGGTGGCCCCGCCAACTGGAAAGCAGTAGGTGGATGGATGGAGGGGGTCTTCCATATCTCACAGTATGGGTTGGGCCTCTCTGCTTCACCTACCGTTTTTGTTCCCGAGATGCAGAAAATGTGACACTCTTGTTATTCACTTATAGGGTCTAAATTGAAGAAGACAGTGCACATTCTCTGGTCTTTGATGTACCTAGAATGTTTGGAATTTTAACTTAGAGCAGTGGTTCCCAACCTTGAGTAAACCCAGTGTTCTTGGACTGCAACTCCCAGACACCCTGGCCAGCACAGCTATTGGTGAAGACTTCTGGGAGTTGCAGTCCAAGAACATCTGAGGACCCACGGTTGGGAACCACTGACTTAGAACTGTTCTGACTGTTTTTTCCATTCACTATTGGAAGAAGCTGTTGTTATTTGGGGCTTCTGTGTTGGTTCTTTTATGCACCAGGCTACAGTTCTCTGCATTCTCGCCTCCAGGTTTCCTGAATGCCAACTCTGAGAATACCTGACCTTTGCCATGCCAGTTAGGATTTCTGGGAACCGCGGTCCCATATAGTCGAAGGACCAAGATTGAAACTCGCTGCCTTGAATTGCAGTTAAATACATTTCAAGTCCTGGGTCCCATGTATCTTCCTAATTAACGTGTACAGAATGGCAGAGTTATTTTATGACCATTTATTTTCCTTGCATTTTACAACTTTGTAAGCCTCCCGGGGAACACAAACAAACATTAAAGGTGTGAGATATATAAATTATGTAAATAAACAGATGCATCCACAGTTTTTTTTCCAAGAGATTCCAGCTAGCTACATGGCATTCATGCACCCGGGAGGAAGTGATGTAAGAAGCTGGATTTCTCAAAAGATTTTCTAAAATGAGAATTTGTCCTACGGACAGCTAGGGACAAATAAATAAATGAGCCTGACATATGCTTCTCCAGCCTCCTCCTTAACTCATGTACAGAAAACTGCCAATTGTATGTCATTTCAAGTACGAGGTGGGCACGAACCGAACCACGAACCAGAAAAACTGACGAATCGGGCTGGTTCATGGTTTGCTTCATGAACCCGTTCAGGGATCCTGTTTTGCCAAAATGAAACAAGGCAACAAACTTATTTCCCCTTGATGCGTTGGCTTGTTCAGCAAAAGGGGATGGTGGCAGCAGTGGAGGAGGAGGCGGTGGCAGCCGCGGGACCCGGTAGGAAGGCAGTGGGAGGGGGCAGTGAGAAGACAAGCGTCAGAGGGCAGAAGCAAGTTGGTCCTCCCAAAGCACAAACTGGAAATATAAACCATGAAATTGTTCATTTTTGTGGGGGCTCGTGATGGCTGGCCACGAACCAGCCTGATTCGTCATTTCTCCAGTTCGTGCTCATCTCTAGTTTCGATCCATGTATTTCACTTTTTTGGTATTCCTCTTCCAGTAGCAAACCTTCCCCAAACGTTCAACCTTTCCTCCTGCTCAGAAGGGCAGATAGATAACTCTCCTTGCTGCTCTAGGGTGGGTCTGAATTCCACCGCTTTGAGCCCAGCTGTTCCTTACCCTCCTGCAGACAGAAAGATAGTCACTAAAACAAAATCAGTACCTCTGCAGGGTGACAGAGAGAAGGACGGGCCCAGCCTCTCACCCAGTCCTTCAGCTCTTGCCACATCCGTCCAGCCTCGGCCCACTTCAAGCTAAGACAAAATAAGAAAGAAGTGGATGGGGAAAGAGGAGGAGGAGGAGAAGCAGAGATGTATTTCTTACTCCATTTAAATTTCCACAGAGGCTCGGCTATGAGAACAAGCAAGGAACCTGCAGGGGGATTTTGTGAGTGGAAGAAAGGAGATGAACCTTGGCAGGAAAAAGTGTACCAGGAGTACGGAGAGAGGTTTATATAACCCCAGGATGGAGAATAATCCAACCTGATGACATCCAGGCAGGGGAAAACAGCAACTGCTTCTGACACACAAAGGAATACCTGGAGGAAGTGGAGCGGAAGCCAAAGGGAGGTGGCAAAGCAACACGGTGGGTCAAGAACCAAAAAGTAATACAGCATAGAAAAATGGCCAGAGGAAGAATATCAGCCCAAACCATTCCATTTCACGGCATTTTCCCAGAGTGGTGGCACAGATATCAGCGTGTTTGCAGCTTCTACTTCTCTTAGAAAGGGTGGGAAACAGCTAGATGATTCCTGCAGATCAGTAGACCCTAACGTTGTGGTCTTTTAGTCCAACCAGAGATGAAGGAAGTTAATTTTTTTAAGTCAGTGGTGGTTCATCTGTTAGATTAGAGGTTCCCAGCCTTGTGTAACCCAGGTGTTCTTGCACTGTATGCCCCAATCCAGAAAAGTCCCTCCCAATTACTCAAACCACAGGCAGCATGCTAGATTGTAAAAACTCCAGGACTACTCAGGTTGGGCTTGATGTCCCACAGTGGGAATATGGGTTGTTGCCCATCACAACTATTTAAGCCATGCCTTGTTATCTATCATCTTAGTGCTGTTGATGTAACACAGTGGTTGCCAACCTTGGGTCCCCAGGTGTCCTTGGACTACCACTCCCATAAATCCTGGCCAGCACTGCTGGTGGTGAAGGCTTCTGGGAACTGCAGTCCAAGAACACCTGGGTTAACCAAGGAAGGGAATCATGGTGTTAAAGCTAGTGGAGACATCACACCACATCAGGTTCAGGATACTGTGACCCACCCCACTCCTGTCTGCTTCCTTATTAAAGGTAGAAGGCCTCATATGATGGCTAAAATCAAGAAATTTGGTGACGCTCTAAAATTTAACCAGAAGAAGCTAGGCTTCAACAAAGCCTGGCTCCCAGCACTGAAAAATACAGCCTGCAAAAAGGTCAATGAACTCTACTCAGCCACAAGGACAGGTGATCACTGCACACACAAGACTAGCTAACAACACCCATCAATCACAGTGACAGATCATCTCCACCCTTATCACAACAATACACCCATAACAAAAAACACCCTGATCACCATAATTACCCAATCTCCTGAAAAGGACAAAAAGCCGATCCCACAGCTACAAATACTCAACTATCCCACACCCTATACCAGAACACAGACAGAGTTCTAACTGCTGTCCTCTGAAGATGCCAGCCACAGAGACTTGCGAAACATTAGGAAGAAAAACCTCCAGAACACATCCCAAAAAAACCTACAACAATCATTGCATCCCGGCTGTGAAAGCCTTTGAGAATACATTAAAATGGAGCTACTTAGACACAGGACAAACTTTCTGTAACTGACAAGAAATCCAAACAACACAACACTTATGTGCATGCAATTTATGCCCCACCACGTGTGCAAAAGAAGATCTATCAAATGGCCAAGAGAATGCTATTGAAGTAGCCCGCTTCTCATCAAAGACAGTCTAATTATCTTAACATTTAAATATTTTTAATTTACCTATACAGTATTTCATCTGTGTCCATAATTTTAAATTGCGCAGTTCTCTGATATGAAGAAAGAAAGAAAGAAAGAAAGAAAGAAAGAAAGAAAGAAAGAAAGAATTTTTTAGGGCACACGCATAAACGAAAGCAACATGGGGAAATGTTCTTTCAGCTCAGTTGACCAAGAACCTGACAGTTCCTTCAATGAAAGCCTCAAAGCGATGACAGCCAGGTTTATTTTAACTCTCTCTGTGGCAGCCCTTCTGACTGAAGTGCTAACATTGCCAGCTGTGAAATTCCTTCCGTCTGCCCTTCCTATAACCTTACATGGGGATCTCTTTCCTGCTGTGTCTGACCTTTACCCAGGCGAGAGCCACCAACAAGCTCGTGAAACACATTTAAGGGGTTGGATGGTGCCAAAGACAGAACACA